TACAGAAAATCTCAGTATAATCTGAGAACTATACAGTAAATACTTCATTTACAAGATGTCAATCAATCGTCTCAGACTTAATTGTTCTTTCGTATCCACACCAATTATTCTTTCTTCCCATTCTCCTTCTTCGATCTTCTCAACTTTCTGCCTCCAGGCATTTCACTTTCGATTGACGATACATATTACTTATATCTATCGACATCAGTACCACACACCCTAACCTGAATACATTATATGGTAAAATGGTTATTTACAGTGCTGAAGTTTCTCACCAGCGAAACAAATGCCCTTATAATCCTGTCTGATTTTTAATTATTCATTAACTGATAAAAGATTTCTATGTAATTACTTTCATACCGAAAAGTCAGTTCAATGTAACTTTATAAGTTATATATTTAAAGGACACAGGTGATAAAGTCAGTCAAATCTAGAGATGGGCGTTTGAATTTTTCTTATGGACATAAATAGATTTATATTTTTGTAAGCATGAATGGCTCACAAATATACCAGATGAAATCTAAAAGACATCTGAATGAACAAAGTTGATGATATAATTAACGATAAAATGAATGCGGTACAAGCTGTATATCCTGCCAAGTTTATTCAAACAACTGACAGAAAACATTAATGAGGTGGCGTGAGCGATGAGATCAATGCACGTTTATTGAAAGCCAGAGCGGCTTATGCCAATCTGGGCCATCTTTGGCGCCTTCTTGATGTTAGTCTGGTTATAAAAGGTCGGATCTACAACACATCGGTGAGAGCAGTTTTGCTCTATGCTTGTGAAACCTGGTCTCTCCGAGTTGAGGATGTTAGACGACTCTCTGTGTTCGATCATCGCTATCTCCGAAGGATTGCTGACATCCAGTGGCAACACTATGTTAGTAATGCACAGGTTCAGCATCGTGTGTTCGGGTCCAGAGACGACAATTCAATTCGTGTCACCATCTCGAAACACTGACTTCGGTGGTTTGGACATGTTCTACGAATGTCGTCCCAGAGAATTCCACCTCGTGCATTATTTGCCGACTCTGGGACTGGTTGGAAAAAGCGGAGAAGTGGTCAGTGTATGACATGGTGTCGTGGTATGAAAGAAAGCTGCAATGGGTTGGCTTGTGTTGGTCCTTCACGACTCCCTGACTGGGGTCCGAGAGATGGTGCAACACAGTGGCTAGAGACGTTATCAGATATGGCCCAGAATAGAAGCCAGTGGCGATCCTGCTGTAACATTCCTTTACTTTCTTCATAAAGGTGGTTCCTTCTTCTTTAACTGAAAGATTTCTTCTGATTGTACCTTTTCGTTCCGCCCATTATTATTATTATTACGCTACCTTACCTTATTCTGTTCGTTATTGTTCTTTTTTTAACGCTTCTCACCATTTTTCCTTGTCCTCTTCGAATTCCCATTGTTTTGTGTGCCCTCTTGTACCAATATTTATGTGTTCGAATAAATAAATAAACATCAACAACTATTTATAGATATGAATGGTCATCTATTGAATGACAATAATGACATATTTATGAGTTTTTTTTAACTCGAGTTTCAACTTGATAGCATACATATACATGAGAAAGTTGTATCATAATGTACACATTATTTAATGATTAAAAGGTTGTTGTATTGATTGGTAGCCATGAGAAAATTTCAGATTAAATTATGATTATTATCAAGGATCTTGTAGATCCTTGAATAACCTGTGCATCTTGTTCAAGATAATAATCACTATCATGATATAGTGATAAATCTTAACACTATTAATAAACTCAGTTTCATTATTTTTGTCTTTTGGGATCAATTCATACTTCAGTAAGTATCAAGCTCTTGATTTTGATCCAGTGGTAAGGTTATAGCAACTCACTTGCAATTGAGTTTGTTCTCATTTAACTCGGTTAAGCCCTTTTGGTAACTTATTTAGCGGACAAAGTCATCCGTACTATAACAACTTATTGTACCTTTATTATTGTTGTGCTTGTATGAAATATGTATGCTTGAACATTACTTACCGCCTACGCACATGTTCATTCTGCTAGCTTTATTATCAGCTATTTAATTGACTCGATGATTCATTTATTTCCCTATATATATACATGTACATTTACACTCTACACTCTCGGTTCGCTGACTCAGTCATTCGCCTCACTGCTTTGTGGATTATATGATAACAGTTATGAGGGTGATTGGCCAACGAAGCACAGCTACTACAAGACCATGAATATTTACTACTAGGGGCGGGGATCTAAGTTCTTCTATCTCAAGTCATCTAACTCGAATCATTTCATGAGTTTGATAAACTCCAACAATCTTCACTATACCCTATTGATAATTCCATTTTAAGTAAGAGTACATTTTCAATGTGATTATGATATTACATAACTAATCAATTAACTGAATTTACAAAATATTAAAATCATATGATCCAAATTCATTTTATAAACTGTTTCAGCTAAATTATTATATTTTGATGGAGTTTTGTTCTCTGAGCTAGATGATTTGGTCGTGAAGCTTTCATCGCTCCCCTAAACGATATCATCAGCACAAACTTCATATAGAAGTCAAAACTCCATCAAAATCAACCACCTGAGCTATAAATCTTGTCCACCATGTCAAAATTATTAAATTCCTTGATTCAATTGATTTCTGAATTGAAATCTTAATTATATTGCAAATATTTTATTTACAATAAACCTATATTTAATATATTTAATTATATACTACTTAAAATATTCTAAATATTCATTAATTTATTTAATTTAATACATTTATTCATTATATTAAATCTACTTCGACTTATTCAATGAAATTATAATGAACAATCAATGCTTAGAAGCTAACTTCATAACTAACGTAGTATATACATTAGGTTTCTTACAATCGAAGAATATATGGAAGTCAAAACAACTATCTATCAACTAATATCAAAGTCAAAATCTTCAATACAAACGTCAAGACAGTTCGACTGTAAGGAGCTGAAATGTGGAGAACCACTACAACCATCATCAAACATGTACAAATATTTATAAATAATTGTCTACGCAAAATACTCAACATCCATTGGCCGGATACCATCAGTAATAGTCTTCTGTGGAAAAGAACAAATCAGCTCCAACATTAGGAGGAAATTAGGAAAAGACTATAGAAATGAGTAAGTCATACATTTCAGAAATCACCAAACTACATCACGAGATAAGCCCTAACTTGGAATGCTGAAGGGAAACGGAAAAGTGGAAGGCTGAAGAAGACATTACGTCGGGAAATAGAATCAGATATGAAAAGGATGAATAACAACTGGAAAGAGCTGGAAAGGACTCCCCAGGGTAGAGTTGAGTGGAAAGTGTTGGTAGGCGGCCTACGCTCCTGTACGAGGAGTAACAGGCGTAAATGAAGTAAGTAATTATGTATCAGACATTTGATTATCTTTCAAGTTCAGTAATCACTATTATCAACTATTATAGAAACAGTTATCAGTTTTCCTCCAATTTTCATTTAATCATATACATTTTATTTTTTTGTCACTAAAACTAACAACTTCAGTTCCACTTCTACGTGTATCCTGATTTACAGGAAAATAGAGCACGGCAGTCAAATAGAGTTGGTGTCTGTTTTTTTTAGGAATTAAATTTTGTTTATCAAAACTCGGAACAATCAGACAGAATTTATTATTCGAAATAAAATTTAAATGATAAAATACAAATTATAACGTCTAATCAAAGCACTTGATGCTATTAGAAAGATGCACCGTTTACAGCCAATTAACAAATTTAATAGTTGAGATCATGAGTCAATTGAAGCTTGACCATCATGGAAAACCTAGAAGCATTGGATGGTCGTTTGACCCTATTGTGAGAGTCCTCGGCAGTGCACATCCACCATCCCACCTTACAAGATTCGAACCCAGGATCTATCAGTTTCGCGAGCAAACACTTAACCTCTAGACCATTGAGCTGGCCGGCATCCAACGGTATAGATGTCTGACTATAACCACTCCACGAAACTGAACGACACATCCATTATTGTCTTCAGTGAGTTACTATCTCACAGCAGACCTAGTTGAACTCCAATGGTCACGGCTTCTCATGAAAACTCCAGGAAGTACCACTTGGAGACCATTATTACCAAGCATAGGATGACTATAATCAGAAAAGGATTTTGTGAAGATTATAGCAATTTGATAGTTGAATTCATGAGTCAATTAAAGATAGACTATCATGGAAAACCTGGAAACTGGTTTAGCGGTTTAGTGGTTAAGCGCTCGCATGCGAGACTGATAGGTTCTGGGTTCGAACCTCTCGAGGCAGGATCGTGGATACGCACCGCTGAGAAGTCTCCCAACAGGACGAAACGGTCATCCAGTGTTTCCAGGTTTTCCATGGTAGTCTAGCTTCAATCGACTCAATTACAACAATTACTATAACATTCACAAAATCCATTTCCATCTAACAAATTATTGCAGGTGGAAAAATGTTTTTTCATTATCACTTGAGTACACACTGTTCAAAACAAGTTCACCAATCACTAATTCCTACGATTTTTTGTTAATCACACACCCTAAAATTTTCTCATCAATCGGTGATAGGGAATCATAATCACCATGGCATTAATGTTAACCTTATTTTACAAAGAGAAACTTAAAAAAGAACATCAGAAGACATAAGTTTTCATAAAATAATTTTTTTCTCTTCATTCAATTACATGAAACATTGACGAAATCATGAAAAGAAAAGATTCGGCATTCAACTAAGTAAGTTGAAATATTATTTGATTATGTAATATAACCATAGTGTAATCTGTTATCTGATGTAATAGTGTATCAATGTCTGAAAGAATAATTTTCTTTTTGGGCGGCAGGACGAGGGGGTCATTCACTGTTCCATGTTTTATTCTAATCACTTCATATTTTGATATTTACATTGTATCATTTTATAAGTGTTTCCTATTGATTGATTAATATGATAATGATCATTTAAAGATCATAATAGTTTTATATCTTCCATATTGATTAAGTGACTGTATCGAATAAACTTAAATTTGCTATAAAATCAGGATCCTAGAAAAATAATCAAAAAAATTTTAAAAAAAAATAAAACAAACTGAAACTACAAACTTACTTGTGTAGAAACACTAAAAAATTCATCTTTTGATATTTTACCATCATGATCAAGATCATATTTCTGTAAAAACAAAAAAATGTAAAGAATATGATAGTTGTTATGGAAACAAAATCATTCAATATCATATATCTCTTCATGTACTTAGTTACTACTCAATTGTCACAAACAGATTTAAAGTAATATGATTGTTTAGGAAATTAAATAGTTATATTTTTAAATTTAATATTTGTAATTTATTGGTTTGGATCAAATTGCTTAACCCTTACAATGTATACTTCTTCAGTTTATTGCTCTTTTGAAGATTTATTGTTATCTCTTCCTATGCAGTTTATCTGATATAACATTTTGGTATGGTTCTTAACATAGTAAAATTTTATTTTTAATTGTGAAATAATTTAATATTTGGATTCATAAGTCAATTTAAGTTAGATCACCCTCAAAACACCCGAGAAGCATTGAACGATCGGTTTATTCTAGTATAGGACTTTTCAGGAGTGAGTACACGAAAGGATGAAGGTCCTGGGTTCGAATCCCGCGAGTGGTATTGTGGATGCATACTGCTGAAGAGTCCTACAATGGGACGAAACAGCCGTCTGCTATTTCCAGGCTTTAAATGGTGGTCTAACATCAATCGGTTTATGGTCTAAATCAATAAATTAATAATCTCTACAACTCTATACTGATAATTTGTTAATTATTTTGATGGATTTCAGATATTTATTCAAATTGATGAACTTTTTTAACTTTCTGTCATATAAACTTGGTGCGTTTCCAATAGCGATAAGGTATTTAAAAATATTACGACTTTTGTTTAGCATAAACATTATAACAAGTACTTGAAAGTTTAAATCCACTTAGATTTGTTTACTTGTATCTTCTTATTGTTGTTCAATCTGCAATTGGTCAGTGTCTTGTTGGCATATATGTATCTTGAGTGGACTGTTTCAATATTACCTTATATCACAAGCTTTATCCAAACTCGGTAAGTAATTGGATAACGTAAAATGAACAGTATTGGGTTCGAGTCCCAAAGTGAACTTCCATTCAAAGATGCAGATCTATTCAGCTGACAAATCCCGAAAATGATGAAACGTGCACCCTGTATTCCACTACTAATTACTATTCATCGTTGTTTATAAAAATTGAACGTTCGTTAATCTTCACAATGATTAACTAAATATTATAAAGTAGTATAACATCTGGTATCTTGTTTAAATACATTGTTTTATTTCATAAAATGTTCCTGTATATTCTATTCTATTTATTTATTTATTTTATTTTATCACATCAGAAAATAAACTTTTCCATTGTTGAAAAATATCATCAGAATGGGTTTTGTGGAGATTTTAGAAATTTCACTGGTTGAAATCATGAGTCAACTGAAGCTAGACCTTCACGAAATGCTGCTTGAAGTCAGTCACTAGTGAGCAGATGATTATTATCAGAAAGGGTTTTGTGGAGATTTTAGTAATTTCAATAGTTGTGAAATATCAGCTCACTGAAGACAATGGTGTACGGTGGTGCAACTTCGTGGATTGATTGAAGCTAGACATTTAGGCCGTTGGATGCTGGCTCAGTGGTCTAGTGGTTAAGTGCTCGCGAGCGAAGCCAGTTGATCCCGGGTCCGAATCTCGCAGGGGGCGAGGTCGTGCATGCGCGCTGCTGAGGAGTCTCATACTAGGACGAAACGGTCATCCAGTGCTTCCAGGTTTTCCATGGTGGTCTAGCTTCAATTGAATCATGATTTCAACCAGTAAAAGATATCAGTCAATTAGTAGTTTTTCTCCTCCGAAACACACAGTCTACAATGTTTTTAAAAGTCTTTGAATTTTCCAAATCAATTTTCATTTAAAATCTTAGTTTATTCCCAATGTTAACTGTTTCGTTTAGAATTTAAAACAGTTGTCTTTATAAAGAATTAATGTATTTACTAGTTGAATTCATGAGTCAATTGTAGATAGAGCATCATAAAAAAATCTGGAAGCATTGGATGACCGTCTCATCTTAGTGTGAGACTCGTCAGCATTGCGCATCCATGAAACCGCGTCGCGAGATTTGAACCTAAGATCTATAGATCTCGCACGCGAGCGCTTAACTTCTAGACTACTGAGTTGGTCGGCATCCAACGGTGTTAATGTACAACTTCAACCAATCGATGAAATTGAGCAACTGTCGCGAGACCGATAGGTCTTAGATTTGAATCTCACGGGGCGGGATCGTGAATATGCGCTACTGAGGAGTCCAGTACTAGGATAAAAAGGCCGTCCAGTGCTTCCAAGTTTTCCATACTAGTCTAGCTTTAACTGACTCATGATTTCAACTGTTAAATTATTACAATCTCCACAAAATCCCTCTCTAATTAATTTTTTTATTGAACTAATAAAAATAATTCCCCTGATTAACTCAAACCAATAAGCTTAATATTATAGCCAATTGTTTCAGTACTAGCTTCGATTCTTGAAGAATAGATAGATGTGTACAAGCATTTTTATATTTGAATAAAGAACAGTTATCCAGTATTGCTTTATATACATACATTCAATGTCTTTCTATAAAAAAAGCAAGATATAGATTACATAAAGAAATCAGTACTTTGTTTGATATACTTCTTTTAATTAAAGAATTATTAACTTACATTAAACATTGTATTAACTCTATCTTCAATAGCTTGTACAATGTTACCAGTGAGTAGTTTATCACCAAGTAAATCATAAATAGCTTGTATAACTTCTTTCAATTCTGATCTACTTATATAACCATCTCCATTAATATCATATAAACTAAATATCCATTTAATTTTATCTAAATTAGAACCTTTGCTAATTGTGATAGACCACAGGCAAATTGCTGGATATATAAAGTAGAATGGAATATAAAGAAAGGTCTATAATCAGTTATTTATATATATAAACTAATAACAAATATGACTTGATAAAAATCTATAATAAATATTAGTTATCAGTTTAAGGGTTGTGGAGATTGCTAAATTTTTGATTGAATCATGAACCGATTGATGTCAGACCACCATTGAAGACCTGAAAGCACTGGACGGTCGTTTCGTCCTATTATTAGATTCCTCAGCAGTGTGCGTCCACGATCCCACTCGCGGGGTTCGAACCCAGGCCTTCAGTCTCGCGCGCGAACGCTTAACCTACTTGACCACTGGTGTTAATGTCTAACCTCAACCAATCTACGAAGCTGCGTGACCATCTTCTATTGTACTGAGGTAGATACCTGTTTCTACCCGACACGGATTAGCTCCACTGGTCACGGCTTCTCACCAGAACTCCGAAAAGTTTCTCACCTTGGATGCCGGCTCAGTGGTCCAGTAGGTTAAGCGTTAGCACGCGTGACTGAAGGCCCTGGGTTCGAATACTACAAGAGCGAGATCGTGGATGCTCACTGCTGGGGAGTCTCACGATAGGACGAAACGGCCGTCCAGTGCTTCAGGTTTTCAATGATGGTCTGACATCAATCGGTTCATGATCTCAAATAAATATTATTGTTAAAATTAAATTATCAACATTAATCGAATTCAACTGTAAATAATCATGATAATGTCATAATAGTTAATATAGTAATTGTAAGATTTGTTTCATTTTATCTAAATTACTTTGTTTTTAACATATTTAAACGGCAGAATGTATAGGAAGCAAGGACCGCAATACTACAGTTGAAAAACATGGAAGTCAAAACAATTGTCTGTCAACCAATATCAAAGTCACAATCTTCAGTACAAACGTCAAGACAGTTTGACTGTAAGGAGCTGAAATGTGGAGAACTACTACAACTAATCATCAAACATGTACAAGGTATTTATAAATAGTTTCTACACAAGATACTCAATATCCTTTGACCGGATACCATCAGCAACAACCTACTGTGGGAGATACAAACCAACTTCCAATTAAAGAAGATATTAGGAAAAGACGATGGAGTTGAATGAGACATACAATACGGAAATCACCAAACTTCATCGCGAGCAGAGCCCTAGCTTGAAATCATGAAAAAAAATGGAAAAGTGAAAGGCCAAATTACACATTGTGTCGGTAGTCGGAATCAAACATGAAAAGGATGAATAGCAACTGAAAACAAGTGGAAAGAATTGTTCAGGACAGGTTTGGATGGAGAATGCTGGTGGTTGTCGCATGCTCCTCGACGAGGAGTAACAGGCGTAAGTAATTAGTATCTAATATAAGGCTAAATTTTCAAGACTAGTGATCAATCTAACTGACATAATACAAACAGTATCTGATACTAAACAAATATAAACATTATTATGCAATAATCATTCAGTTTTTAACAGTTGTCTATGCAAAATACTTCGATTCTGTTGGCCAGACACTATCAGCAACAACTTACTGTGTGAGAGAACATACTAGATCCCAGCGGAGGAAGGAATCAGGAAAAAGCGCTGGAAATGGATAGAACACATATTGACGAAAGCACCCAACTGCGTCACAAGGCAAGTCCTCACTTGGAATCCTCAAGGCCAAAGAAAAAAAGGAAGACCAAAGAACACATGATGTCGAGAAATGGAGACAGACATGAAAGGAATGAAGCAAAATTTGACAAATCTGGAAAGGAAGCCCAAGACAGAGTGGATTAGAGAATGCTAGTTGGCGGTGTATGCTCCATTTGGAGTAACAAGCGTAAGTAAGTAATCATTCAGTTTTAAAATAATGGATATAATTTAGAAATAATAAATACTGAAATGGCTATTATTATTATTATCATTATTACTATTATTATTATTATCAAAGGCTTTGTTCAATATTATATTTTTAGTACAATATAGAATCCTCAACACAAAGTATCTCAATAAGTTTCCTTTTCTTCTTTCTTCATCGATCCTGATGATAAATATTTAATGATCACCAGGTAGATGTTAGCAGTTCAGGGATCGACATCTGGATAATATTCATTCTTTTCAATCAATATTACCAGCCATCACGATATCTCTGCCCGTAATGTTTTGTCAGGAAGTCCTACCGGGTTGGCGGATACTGAGGATCCACCTAGGGAAATTAGAAAACACTGATTTCAAACCTATGGTCCACATGGGATCCAGGATCCTGAAGGAAAAATTGGAGTATGAACCAACTGTTAGTCACTGGTTACCATGAAATTACATCACCTTACGTTGCTTTACTGCTTTGTGGATTAGACTTTTAGATAATGGCTTGGGGTGTGATCCCTTTAGAAAACCACCTGCTTCTGTCTGGGCACCCGAGCAGTGTCACAGCTCATACACAATTCAAGTGACTTGTATAGCGTATATGTATTCAGTGCTCATTTGTACCAATATTTATGTGTTAAAATCAATAAACAAATAGATAATTTTTGGTAACCTGTAAAGCGAAAGGTTCTAATTGAATTCATAAACGCGCCTCAATAGGTTATGCGATTAATAGACATAAAAATGCGTTAAAAAAAAAACAAAAACTACAGATAACTTGCTGAAATATATAAATGCCAGGAACAAGTAGCCCAGTTATTCAAGCAGAATATCAATAATCATTATTGACTATACTTTAGTTATTCTTTTGGAAATTTTCATATAATATATCCATTTATATCTAAACTTGATAAGATTACTTCATGTCATAAACAGGAAAACATTTTGATGGAGTTTTGTTCTCTGAGCTGGATGGTTTGTTCGTGGAGCTTTCATCGTTCTTGTGAACGACATCATCAGCACAAACTTCTATCTGAATTTGAGAAGAACGATGAAAGCTGCACGACCAAACCATCCAGCTCAGAGAACAAAACTCCATCAAAATCATCCACCTGAGCTACAAATTTTCTCCGCCATCTCACAGGAAAACATTAAATTACAAATAAAATATACATAACAAATTGGATTTATTTAATCATATCTAATTTACTTTAAGTATTGCTAAGCAGTTTTTCGGTAAACTAATTAGATATGATGTTTATTTACGTAGTAACAAATTTACTAATAATCATCTCGATACCAACTAGTTACTGGTCTTTAGAAAATTAAAGTGATTTACTTATCATCTAACTTATTATTCCATACCATTCATTATTTACTTCATTATGATTCAATTTTCTTTTTTCTTTATTAACTATAAGATATGAAATTGAATGTTAGAAAAAAAGTTCAAACGTGATCAATTCATCAGATGCATATTGTTAAAATCACGTAAACATTCTTGTTTTACTTTAATAGCTTTTCTTGAATGTTAACAAATCACTTACTTACTTACATACTCACAATGGAACATAGGCTACCGACCAACATTCTCCAACTCAATCTGTTCTGGACCTCCCTTTCTAGTTCTATCCAAATATTGTTCATTTTTCCCATGTACGTCTCCGTTTCTTGACGTAATGTGTTCTTTGGTTTTCCTCTTTTTTCTTTGAGCTTGCGTTGCGACGCAGTTGAGTGCTCTGCTCAATGTCTGTACTATCCACTTCCAGCGTTTCTTCCTCATTTCATCCTCCATGGCAATCTGGTTTGTTCTCTCACACAGTAGATTATCAGCGTCTAATAGTGTCTGGCCAATCGATCCGAAGTATTTTGTGTAGACAACTGTTAATTAACACTTGTATCTTCTAGATGATGGCTTCCGTAATTCTCCGAATTGCCGCCCCATACAGTAGAACTGTGTTGATATTTGTATTGAAATTTCAGACTTTGGTGTTGACTGACTGACAGTTGTTTCGAGTTCCAAATGTTCTTCACTTGTGGATATGTTCCTCTTGCTTTGTTAATCCGCGTCTTCACATCTGCATCAGGTCCACCGTGTTCATCAATGATATTAACAAATTAATGTCTGCTAATTATAAAAGGTTTTGATGAAGCTTTATTCTTTGAGCTGGATAGTTTTGTTGTAGAGTTTTTGTTGTTCCTCTGAACAATATCATCAACACATACTTCAGGTAGAAATATCAAACATTACCAAGCGAAAATTGGATTTACTTAAAATTCATTCACTGAGATTTTACAAATACATTCTTCCTCTTACATGTTTTACATCTCAGCGTCCAAATACTGTGAAACTAATCGATTAAACTTAGACGAATGTCCTTATTAGAAATACCAAAGGGTAAAGTATTTCTAACTATAGTTGTGTGGATAATATATGTTATTCAAATAAAACAATGTAAGACTACCAAATGAGAAATTAAGTGATCAAAACAACTTAAAATGATTCGAATATTTTTTAAAATTTAATAACTAACTAACCTCAAATGTTAATTGTCCTGTTTGACATTGATCAAAAACTCGAAAGCATAATTGAGCATAAGCACTAGATGCTGAAATCAAAGAAAGAATATATGTATCAACATCACCAGTAGACTCTATAAAAGTTAATATGAATTTTTCATAGTTACTTCTTTCATTCATTACTGATTAGTGATGTATTAGAGATATATGCTATTTATTCTGACAGATATAAGTAGTATTGTGGTGTGTGCTACTGATGTCGACAGATATAAGTAGCATATATCATTAATCGAGAGTGAAATGTCTGGCAGTAGAAAGTTAAGAACACCAGAAAAAAGAGAAAGAGAATAAAGAATAAGTAGTATGTGCTCACAATCGGAAGTGCAGTGCCTGCAAACAAAAGATTGATTTAAAGAGAATAGGAAGGGATACAGGTAGCAGTCGGAATAGCAACAGAATCAGAAGAATGATGGAGTAATTGAAGGGCAAATGAAGAAAGATATGCAAATAATGTATTTAATATACGTTTTTTTCATATTTTATCAAACCACTGTGTATTTCGCACGAAACTACTAATTAGTTTTCCCTATCTGAGTTCTCATTCACTATATATTTACACTTGTGATCAAATATTCTTATTTACTTCCAGCTACAAGCTTCCTTTTTCTAATGAAATTTGGTAGACTTCAAAGTTTTCCTAATTTTGAAGTGTTCGCGCTTTGCTAAGCAGTTGGAACTACTCAAGAGGTAACTCGGAACCTAAGTTTCGTGGTACTTGTTGGTCACCAGCAGAACGTGCCTGAATCAGCTGAGGAACGTTAGCTACCTGTTGGTTTCTGAATTCACATCATTCAGCTTTACAATCTGAGACCCTATCACTTTCATTGTAACTGAAAAATAATAATTCCATCTATTTATTTGAAATAGTTGCATAATAAACAATGTTGCCAATCGAGTTTACTACCATGGTAAATCAAAGAAACTTTCGTAGCCTTAATGTTTTTGTGAATAGAGATTTAATGAAGTATCCCGTTTAGCATGTGTTTAATAAGCGTTTCAATGATATTATTGCTAAATATCTTTAATATATTGTTTTAAAATCAACGTAAAAATGAATCACTCGAATATCGGATGGATCATGTTAGTGTAACCTCAAAAACTATAATGACTTAACACTAGTTGTTTTAAAATATTCATTTTACTTGTGGGAATGAACAGATATTGAAATAGAGAAAACTCCTTGATTTCTTAGTAAAAAATTAGTTACATTGAATTCATAAACCAATCAATTTTATACCACTATTGAAAACCTGAAAGCACTGGACGGCCGATTCGTTCTGGTATGGGACTCCTCAGCAGCATCCATCCATAATCTTCCACGCAGGATTCGAACACAGGACATTAGATCTCGCGTGCGAACACTCAACCTCTAGACCACTGATCCGGCATCTAACGGTGTTAATATGCTAAATCCAATCAATCCACGATGTCTTACAACTAGCTTCCATCATTTCAATGAAATTTAACCATCTCCATAACCTCAAAATGAAAAATTAATTAAATTTCTATTATTCTTAAATCAAAATATATCGGCTTTAATGTTTATCATCCCATTGGTTCATGTTCAGTTTCTACAATATATGGAGCGATCACCTGATTTTTCAGTATTTTTTGTGCAAGTAATTTTTGTTCATATACAATTGAATTCTAATGGTCTCTCATTTTTATACCTTTACCCGTCAGTATTTTAAAAGGACATCACGATGTTTTGAAACCACAGAGGTTATAGAATAGATCACTCATGATTGATCAACAGTTTATTAATTCAGTTTCCTTGATCACAATATACCACATCTAGTACTAGTAAGGTATACATTTTTTCCAGGTTGAGACAAGGAAACTTCACCCGTAAAATAAATTTGAAATTGAAATAAAAGTTTGTTTTACCTCATGTAAATGAGGTTCAACTAACTTATTAAGTGATTAAAACTGTAATGTATGCCACTTATATCTGTCAACAGACATAAGTAGTATGTAACATCAATCAAAAGTTAAATGACTAGTAACACAAGGCTAAGAAGATCGAATTGAAGAAAGCAAAAAGGGGAATAGAAAACAATTGTGAATTGAAACAATTAAACGGAATGTAAAGGACAGTTGATGGAAGATTTACAAATGAATCATTTATTGTATGGTTTCCACATTTTACGATTAGCGTTTTTTGTGAGTTAGTTTTCCACGCGGTCGTGCACAGACCAAATTGCGACACTACGGATCATCGTCGAACAATCAGTTGAGTGGAACTCATCACTATACATCAACTTCATTGATTATGAAAAGGCATTTGACAGTGTGGATAGGAGGAAGTTAGGAAAACTTCTTCGACACTACGGAGTTCCTGAGAGGATTGTCAATATTATCCGGAACTCATACGACGAACTACAATGCAAAGTCGTGCATGGAGGACAGCTGACAGATGCATTCCAAGTAAGGACTGGAGTCAGACAAGGCTGTTTACTCTCTCCCTTCCTTTTTATTCTAGTGGTCGACTGGATTATGAGAACCTAGACATTTGAGGGAAAACACGGAATACAATGGACAGCTCAGAACCAATTAGACGATCTGGACTTCGCAGATGACCTATCCCTCCTATCGCATACACACGAACACATACAGATAAAGACAACCAGTGAAGCAGCAGTCTCTGCATCAGTAAGCCTCAACATACACAAGGGGAAAACCAAGGACCTCAAATACAATACGGAGAACAGCAATCCAATCACTCTTGATGGCGGAACTCTGGGTGATGTAGATTCCTTCACATACATAGGAAGCATCATCAATGAACAAGGAGGTTCAGATGCAGAAGTAAAGGGGAGGATTGGTAAAGCAAAGACTGCATTCCTACAATTGAAGAACATATGGAACTCAAAACAACTTTCAACAAATATCAAAGTGAGAATCTTCAATACGAACGTCAAGGCAGTCAGTCCTACTGTACGGAGCTGAAACTTGGAGAACTACAACAACCACAATCAAGAAGGTGCAAGTATTCATAAATAGCTGTCTACGCAAGATACTCAACATCCATTAGCAATAGCCTTCTGTGGTAGAGAACTAGCCAGCTTCGAGCTGAGGAGGAAATTAGGAAAAGACGATGAAAATGGATAGGACATGCACTACGCCAATCGTCAAACTGCATCACGAGGCAAGCCCTAACTTGGAATCCTGGAGGAAGGCGGAAAAGTGGAAGGCCAAAGGACACATCACGTCAGGAAATAGAAGCAGATATGGAAAGGATGAATAACAACTGGAAGGAGCTGGAAAGGATTGTTCAGGACAGGGTTGGATGGAGAATGCTGGTGAGCGGCCTATGTTCTTTCACGAGGAGTAACAGACGTAAGTAAGTTTTCCACGAGATATGTTCGTTAACCCATGCACAACCCTCTTTTTGTACCCGGGCTAGAGACTGGCAGTAGCCCCAGAGGAGCTCCAGGCAGAAGAAGCGCTAGAAATGGATAGGACACACATTGAGGAAAGCATCCAACTCCATCGTAAAGCATATCATCTCATGGAATCCTTAAGGTCAAAGAGGAAGAAGAAGACCAAAGAACAAATGACGCCAAGAAATCGAGACAAACATAAGAATGAACAACAATTGGATAGAATTAGAGAGGAAGATCCAGGACAGAGTGAGTTGGAGAATGCTGGTTGGTGGCCTATTCTCCGTTGGGATTAACAGGCGTAAGTAAGTAAGTAAGTAAATAAGTTCTACATTTTATGAAAATATTCTGTAGTTTTGTACTAAATAGTAAATTCATTATCCCCAACTATGTTCTCATTCACCATAAAACTAGTACATATATGTAATATATAGTATGATTATGTTCAAACATATCAAATAGGTTATTATGACATTGAAATGTACATATTGTTAACTGTCATTTCGTACAATCTTACGGTATTTTTGAAAAAAATTTTCAAACCGTTCAAATTAAAACGTGTCAATAGTTTTTTCAAACAATTTTTTCTAGAAGTTTTACGAAGGTTTCAATTAGATATTTAAAAAGAAAAAGACAAACTACATGGTAATTTGAAAAGCTATTTGGACATAAAAAGGTGAATAAGTAAAATGGTTTTAAATATCACTATATGAAAAGAATTTTTAGTAAGACTGTAATTTATGAACGAGCCAATCAAAAGGGTTTAAGGGATTTCAAGGTCATAGTGTCGACTTCAGTACTTGATCCTAACGTACAATCGGTTCATAAGGAATTTTGTACAAAACGTGATCATTGAGAAGCTATAATAAATAAAACGGTCAGACTATAATTTGTGAACGAAGCAATTAGGGATAAGATAATAGATCTTGAATTTTAGTGCGAAAGCCTTTCATCCATTTGGTTAAATAGATTTCTGGCATTATAACTGATGTCAGTTCGTGATGAAAAACCTATATGTGATTCATAACTAACGCAAATTATGACAATTATTGCAAAATGGATAATAAAAGTAACAGTAACACTAGCTGCAGCCAGGTACTACAAATATATACGGATGTTTGGAGAGCCTACAGACTCCTAAATAGGCTTGGTTATATGCATCGTGTCATTATCCGCAAGTGGCATTTTGTTCACTCAACAACCGGAGTACACACAAACAATATTGAAGGTATGTGGTCGAGGCTGGAAAAAGTTTTTGCGACTTCATCATGCCTCCAGAGGCCAACTATTCTGTTACAATATGGATGATTTCCTCTACTGCATGCAATACGATTTTAGAACCTCTGAACTTCTTTCTAACCTTGACAAGTTTTTGAACCATGTATAAGAACTGTATCCACTTTATTTTTTGGTTTTGTATAATATCTATTTACTCTATATTGACTGTTTTCTGATTAGCCAATATTCCTCAAGGTCACGTAAGATCTGTTCAAAGGTCGTCCATAACTTATAGTCACGGCCGAATCTTGTTGGGAACAATAGTTTCCTAAATATTCCGGATAAACATAGCTAATAAACACCAACCACTACAAAACCTAAATGCATGTTTTTCGAATTATTACATCCAACTATTTAACATATTAGTCAATGTACAAAGCAGAATTCAAAGTTCTTTAAAACAAGCGAATATACTTTGAGTATATTCTATAATTTTATTCAACTACTAGAAATAAGGTAATTGCATCAAGAACAATATATTTGCACGTTTTGTACATAGGAAACAGTTTCAATCAAAAACACCCATTTTCATTGACTTGAATCACTATAGGTTTAGGTTATTATGTCACAAGAATAGTGAGCTATGATTTTATATAGTTTGTACAATAAATGAGCAAATTCGACTGAAATTGTATTCATTTGTCTAAACAGATAAACATGGTACAAGGAGGCACCATATAGGTATGTGCCACATAAATCATTCGATTTGTGTGAGGGCTATGACACTGCCCGGGTGACAAAACTGAAACAGGTTGTTTTCTTAGGTGGCCACACCCCGAACCTTTGACCTAAAGGTCTAATTCCCAACGTAAGGAGATGCAGTTCCATGGTACCCAGTAACCAACGATTGGTCCATACACCATTTGTTCTTTCAGGATACTAGAGCCCGTGTGCACTATTGATTTGGAATCAGGGTTTTCCAACTCCTCTATTTGAAATCTCCGTGTCCACCAACCCGATTAAAGCGCCGGATTTTCACTTTCCGTCCTCTCGATGTCGTAACAAAGCACCCCCCGCCACGAGAAGGCAATGAGTAGAACTTCCCTGTCAGTGGCTGTAGACGCGTGGCCATTTGAGAGCATTTCGAGAGGGTGAGCTGACTATCCTCACTCTCAGTTGTACCAGGGCAATTGTGGGCAGTTATGATTGTCCGTATCATACAGTCATCAAACTGATCGCCTTTCCTTCCTACTAGACGTAACTTTTTTATAATTTTGCCAACAATAATATGAAAATAATCATATGCCCACAATTACTGAATATATATTACACAGGTTATGCATAACTTCAAACTCATTGTTTACTATAATTTCTATATAAATATTAACCATTAATATAATATCATATAAACATACCACGATTAGGAAAAAATCTTCTATATACTCCTATGAAAGATTCTTTACTGGCAACACCTGAAGGACAAATCTGTAGAACAATGAAAAGTAAAAAATACAAAAATAATTATTCTTCCATGTAAGAGTACTTTTACAATATATAAACAAACTGTTTACAATCATTCACAGACTGAATGTGTTTATCAATAGGGTTATACATCACAAAAGGTCTTCTTCACGTCAATAATACTGTTTTCTATATATATATATATATATATATATATATATATATATATATATATATATATATATATATATATGACTTAATGGGCACATTTGTTTCCCATTAGCATATACTGAATTAACCATAAAGATTTTAATGTTTCCCTTTCAATTAAAATGAAATGAGTATGTTTATTGTTTTGTACTTAAATGTTTTAAACTTAAAAAGGATTTCAATGGTTGAGATCATGAGTCAGTTGAAGCTAAACCACCATGGAAAACCTGGAGGCACTGGACGACCGTTTCGTCCTATTGTGCTACCAGGTTTTCCATGGTAGTCTGGCTTCAACTGACTCATGATCTTAACCATTGAAATTACTATAATATTCACAAACCCCCTTTCTGATATTAAAAAGGATTATTTAAATGTACTATTAGTTCAATAAATTTAAATTAATATTCGTCATACTACTAAATGATAAATAAACAGAAGATACTTTGTTCATGATTCTATCTTGAACATTACATAAAGGATAAATCATACTGGTACTTGTGTAATGAATGAGAATACAAGTGAGGACAATTGAATGTATTTGAATATAAAATTACAGAATCTCTTAGTAAAATCTGTGAACTATAGAGTAAATCATTCATTTGCAAAATGTCATTTAATCATCTAAGATTTGATTGTTCCTTCATTTCCACACTAATCACTCTTTGTCCTCATTCTCTTTTCTTTGATCTTCTTAACCTTCTCCTAACAGGTATTTCACTTTCCACTGACGATATATACTACTTATATCTATCGATATTAGTAGCACATACACCACAATTGAATTGTTATGAATGAAGTAATTATGCATTTAAAGTATTCTAATTGTTTGGTCAGTTAATTTACTAAAGATGGTATAACCAATAAAGTATTTTCCGAATAAATGCATAAAATCTATTTTGAGGATGAAGAATAAAATCTCAAGTTTAAACAACTTTATTTGATTAATCAAGCTTAACTTGTACATTCTGTTCAATTAAATCACAGACTGTTTTTTTTTAAGAATACTAGTAAATCCACCTATCTGATGTCGGTAAGTTGTTAGACAGTTTCACTGAAAGCGATGAAGAACCGTGGAATATTAATTTCCAGTCCTTACTCATTTGTATTTTGGGTGTTCTTCTTAATATCGATTGATTTCCTGTGGACAATATCTAGTTTTTTGTATGTATACACATTCTTGCTCAGATGATGCTGTAAATAGATGATAATAAGATCTGTATTAATATTATTTAATAATAATAACAAGCAGATGGTATTACCGTATTATAACTCCACCTGGAGTCCCTCTGGGAGCTACTGCCGGTCCCAAGCCCGGATAAAGGAGGACGGTTGGGCATGGGGTTAGCGTCCCCATCCCGTAGAAAACTAACTCGCTAAAAAACGCTAAACAGAAAAATTAATTCAAACCTTTTAAACTCTGCCCTGGAAGTCAGAAGGTCTTCATTTAAAAGAGTTATGACGCCTCATGATGAAAGCCGAGTTCCTTCAGAAGTCACGAGGCTGATGCCCCTTCTGACAACCAGAGCAACCATTTATTTAGGTATATGGAATACTCTGGTCGGTGGCCTATGCTCAATTAGGAGTAACAGGCGTAAGTAAGTAATTATCCTATTATACAATAAATTTTTTAGCGTTTTTTCAGCGAGTTAGTTTTCTACGGGTTGGGTTCCCTAACCCTATGCCCAATCATCCTTCTGTATCCGGGCTTAGCACCGGCAATAACCCCAAAGAGGGTTCCGGGTAGAGTTTCCTGTTATATAAGCAAAACGGTAACTCTCAAGTGTTGGGAAAACGTTGTTAATTTCAAGACTAAATTTTTGAGTTAATCATAATGGATCTGTATAAATCATGTAGAATGTCAGATAATTCGAAATGATCTGATCCATTTCATTTAATGTTTATTATTAAAGTGTATCTGGTTTTTCAAGTAGACAATCTATAAGAAACAGTTATTCTTTCAAAGAAAAATCCTTTGGAAATTAGACAACTGTAATACAGCTTATTGTATAAATTTTCTGTAATTAGTTCCTTTTATAAATTTAGATAAAGCCACAGAACAAACACCCCCCCCCTTCACTCATCCATTTCTACCCACTCAATTCTCTTAAAATATGTGAACTCATCAAATCTTGTTTAATTATTATACAACCTATCTTACCAGTTTTTAATTCTAAGAATCTTGTGCAAACCCTTATTAACTCTAAAATCATTATCAAACAAATTTATCTTACCTGCCTTTGAACTTCACTCAATTATTACATGACCCAACCCTTATGTTTCTAAATTCTAACACCAAATGACCTCCGACCTGTTCTTGAACACGCATATATATAGTTATTATTAATAACCTTTGTCATTCCAATTCTTTACATTCACTTATGTCAATTATTTTACACTATATCTTACTTCAATGTAAAATTTTAATACATATTTGATTGTAAGCAGCTAATGAGAAACCACGAGATATAATGAATTCATATTATTCTTCATCCATGTTCTTTCTGGCTTTATTATATCAACTAAAACGATAAACAAGTAGATCAACATTGTAGACGCATACTGAATACGATTAACCATGAGGTAAATTAAAGTACAAAAGGAAATAATAAACATCTAGTATTACAGTAGATGCAGACGTCAAGGAGCGAATCAGTAAGGCAAGAACAGCATATCTAAAAACGAAGAACATCTGAAACTCAAAACAACTGTCAGTCAACCAACATCAAGGACAGAATTTTCAACAAAAATGTCAACACAGTTCTACTGTATGAAGCGGGAACTTGGAGAACTACGAAAGCCATCATCCAGAAGATACAAGTTTAATTAACAGTTGTCTACACAAAATACATCAGATCCATTGGCCAGACACTATTAGACACTGGCAACCTACTGTGTGAGAGAACAAACCAGATTGCAATGTAGGAAGAAATGAGGAAGAAACGCTGGAAGTGGATAGTACACATATTGAGGGAAGCACTCAACTGCGTCACAGGGCACGCCTTCACATGGAATCCTCAAAGCCAAAGGGAAAGAGGAAGACCTAAGAACACATTACGCCAAGATATGGAGACAGACATGAGAAGAGTGAAGAAAAATTGGACAAACCTGCAAAGGAAAGCCCACGACAGAGTGGGTTGGAGAATGCTAGTCGACGCCCTATATTCCATTGGGGTAGGATAACAGGCGTAACTTACTAAGTAAGTAAAAACGTAAAATGATCAATTTAAAGTGAAAGTATTTCTACTCACATGTTTAAATCCTTGATATAATAATTGTAATTCTTTTCGTGTAAAATTCGTCATCATTTCTAATTTATGTAATGAAATTGGTTTAGTTTGAAGATCTAAACTTTTTAAATCATACGATGTTAAATCTAATAGATCAAAAGAAATAAGAAAACAAAAATTTAAACAAACATTGGAAAAATGTAAATGAGTAATGTTGTTGTTGTGGTTATTGTTGCTGTTGTTGTAGTTAATGACACGTTCCTTAATATCTGTTTGTTGAACTAGTTTAAAAGTAATTTTCAGTTATAAAGGCTTTATTTGTGTAGGGGTGTTTTGGTGATTATTCAGTTTTTAATGAACAATATGAACCGATTTAAAATTAGACAACCAGTAAAAATTAGAAAATATTAAAGAGTTGTTTTGTTCTTGTATGAGATTCCTCATTAGTCTTTATCCAAGACCTCTTTAGGAATTAACAACGTATAATTTTAATAGATGAGATCATGAGTCAATCGAAGCTAGATCACCATGGAAAACCTGGAAACAATGGATGACCGTTTCGCCATATTATGGGACTCCTCAGCAGTGCACATCCACCATCCCACCTTACGAGATTCGAACCCAGAATCTATCAGTCTCACGAGCGAACGCTTAACCTCTAGACCATTGAGCTGGCCGGTATCCAACGGTATAGATGTCTGACTATAACCACTCCACGAAACTGAGCGACACATCCATCATTGTCTTCAGTGAGTTACTATCTCACAACAGACCTGGTTGAACTCCACTGCTCATTGTTTTTCACTAGAACTCCAGGAAATACCTCTTGGAGACCGTCACTAGTGAGCATATGATGATTATAATCAGAGTGAGGTTTTGTGGATATTTTAGTAATTTTAATAGTTGAATTCATGAGCCAATTGCGCTAGGCCATCCAGTGCTTCCAGGTTTTTCATTATGGTGAGAGAAATAATAATGCAATTACAATTTGGTAAAATGTTTAGTGGATGACTATAATGTGTGAAAAATTAATAAGACGTAATAAGGAAGGATGAATGTGAAGTTAATCAATCAAGTATAGTGGAGATTAATAACTTTTTACCAAAGTTTGTCAGACTCAAAGTCCTTTAATCGGCTGAAGCAGCAGCCATCCGGATGAAGAAACCGGAGTTATGCATATAAATAAATATCTTCAACCGCTTCTCCTCCCTTGGTTGACTTCAAGGCCAATTAATCTGTAGTAATCTTAGCTATTGAGTGACCTAATTTGACTATTGTACTTACGACCTTTCGTAGACAATTATAATTGACTCTGATATCTTTATTCGCAAATTATTATTATTATTATTATTATTATTACTATTATTATTGGTTTACCATCATTATTAATTTCCTCAATACATGATTCATTCACTTCACATTCATCCCTCCTTACTACGTCTTACTAATTTCCCCATTATGCAATTTATCGAATTGTAATTGCATTATTATTTCTCTCACCATACCTGATCCATATTTAATTTGATCATGGATCTTAAATTTCACTTAACATATATGCAGATTCAAGTTAACATTTCATATGAGTCATATTAACATTAACAATTTCAATACACTTTGCTTTACAATCCTACAGTTCACATGCTTTAAACGATATACTTCACCCTTAACCTGGCCAATTTTATGGATTATCAATTTGGATGAATATATATATATATATAATTGACTCATGATTTCAACTACTGAAATTATTAAAATCTCCACAAAACCCCTTCTAATAGTAATCATCTGCTCACTAGTGACTGGTTTCAAAAGGTATTTCCTGGAGTCCTAGTAAGAAACAGTGGATTTTAACCAGGGCTGTTGTGAGATAGTAACTAATTGATGACAATTGTAGATATGTCGATCAATATCGCGGATTAGTTGAAGTTAGACATTAACGCCGTTGGATGCTGACTCAGTCGTCTAGATTTTAAGCGTACGCGAGCCAGACTCATAGGTCCTTGATTCGAATCTCGTGAGGCAGGGTCGTGGATGTGCAGTGATGACGAGTCCCACAATAGAACGAAACGGCCGTCCAGTGTTTTCAGGTTTCAATGGTGTTCTAGCTTCAACTGACTCATGATTCCAATCAGTGAAATTTCTAAAAATCTCCATAAAACCCCTTCTGACAAATTTATTTGACACATCTATTGTCTATATATTTAATTAAATGGCATGGGAAATCTCATGGGAAAATTATATTCATAGGAAAAAAGTATTAATCTTAATGAAATTTAATAAATTTCATAAATAGAAGCATTTCACTTTCATTCAATTGTGAGTTATGAAATGGTACTGTAATTAAATTTCACAATAGAATACAAAGTTATTTGAAATGGTTAACAAATAACACAACATGACTTAGTACAACGGAACACATGAATATTATATGCGATCAATCAAAGAATCAGGTCTGAACAAATCAATAGCATGTCATTTCGGTTAAGGTGATTAATAAGAGACATTTATGTAAATTTATGTCTGTGTGCGTACGTGTGCACGGTGTTGTTGTTCTCGTGTACCATTTAAAGTAAGATTAATGTTGATTTGATTATTTATGCTCTGAAGAAGTCGATTACATTGAATTACGAAATATCAGAAAATCTAATTTTTCTACTCATTCGAATATTAAAAATATATTAATTTACTTTACATATAACAAACTACCTAGTGCTCAACTTATTCGAAATTATCAAGTCAAACCTTGGTAATGATACCCGCTAACTTCATTTATTTGTAAGGGTGTTTTTTCTTTAAAAAAATGCTTTTGTGTTTTTTATTTTGAGGATTGCAACTGATCAGTCTCTCTTGATATGGATGTATCCTGAAACGATTGCTTTGATATTGCCACTTAATTACTAGTTTTTATCTAAGTTGGATAAAATAGGGGAATTGTGGATGTGTGTCTTGTTCCGTCTTAAAGTTATCAGGTGGATAGAGCTGTATACAACTGTTAATGTTAAAACTGAAACTTCAACTCAATACTTTTCACCTTTCAACGAAAAAATGCAAGACCTTACAAGTAAATTAGGCGAGACTATAATTTATGGACGAACCAATCAGAATTAGGATAACAGGTCTCGGATTTTGGTGCGAAATTCATTCACCTAATTGTCTATATGGCGTCGTGGCATTTTAGCTGAAGTCAACTCATAATGAAAACCATAAATCTAATTTCTAACCATAACCATCAACTCTACGTCATAACCCTTACTATTCATACTGCTTTAAAATCATCATTTGGCCCTAGTAAGTAGGTGGACATTCCCAAGTCACTTTAGCATCGCTCAATGGTCGTCCATAAATTATAGTCTCACGGTAAAATAAAATTCCATACCGTTACACAAACTAATGGTCATGTGAACTCAATAGATCATTAGGAAACTAGTTTAACGTTCTGAGTGATAGATTAAGGTTAGAATTTTATTGTAAACAAAAACAGTGAAATGTAGGTACATCTAGTTGACAGTCATAAATAGGACAAACTTTTATCCTGGACTTCACTACTAGTTACTATTCAAATGTCATAAAAGAAGTAATATTAAGTTCATTAAATGTAATTACAACTAAAAATGATTTCTTATTGACATAACAAATTATCAAATTTGTTCAGTTGAATATGAAGTGGTTTTGCTTCGTTAATCGATCACCTCGATAACCGTTATAATATAAATTTCAACAGTGTTTAAAATGAGAAGGCAATAAGAATCAGCGTATAACATAAATCACAAATCTATAAGCACATCAAGCGAATTTGAATAGGAGAGACGAATATGTATATGTGAGCAATTACATAGGCAAATTTATAGTCAAAATGCATAAGAGCGCAACAAGGCAAAACAAAGATTAATAATAAAATTTAAGTGCATACATACATGGAGGAGAGGATGAAGGATCGAGTGATATTTAAGCAATCGACATTTTAACTAGAGTCTATCATGTGCTCTAATGATCATAGCGGTACAAAGAAATAGACAAATTGTTACTATTCAAATAACATCTGTTAAGTAAGTTCATAAAAGGCCTTAACCAACATGTAACCATAATCGAAATTGGTTATAAGATAGTTGCTATAAACAATCCCTAGTTTTCATTTTTTTTTTCTTTTTTTTCAATATTAATTATATCATCGCAATGAATTTTATTTTAAAAATATAGTTTTCCCTATTTAATAATAATTTAGGCATATCTCAAATGAAAAAGAAAAAAAAACGATATCCTCCCTGACAACTATTGGTTTCAATTGACCTAAATCAAAACGATTTTCTTTATTCTTCTTAAATAACTACTGACATAAACTAACATTGACAATATGAACTATAATAATAAGTGAAATATAAAATAGAATTGATGATTCAATTGTTGATAATTCAACCAACAACAAAAACTGATCAATACAACCTATTTGAAAGGTTTCTTGTTATAGAAAATATCAAATAGTGTATGAAAGTTAAGAATAAATATATTGTAAAGTATAATGTTTCACTGCTTGAGCATCTGGGCTACCTGTTCCTGCCATCTAGATATTTCAACAAGTTGTCTATTTTTGTTTGTTTTAATATATCATTATGTTTATTAATCGCATAACCTATTCTGTTGCGTTTCTGAAAAGTGTACAACCTTTCATTGTCAAAGTTAGAAAAAACTCAATAAGAGAAAATGTGGTTGCTGGCAATATACAGCGAAAAGAATGCAGATTATTCAGATGTTCATTTAGTGAGCTGCTAACATCTAACTGGCGATCACTCAATATTTATCGCCAGGACCGACCAAGAAGAAAGAAACGGAAACTTGTTGAAATACTTTACGCTGAGAATTCTATATTGTACCAAAAATATAATATTGAATAAAGCTGATGATGATAATGATAATATAGTATTGCTGACAAACTATTTCTATATTAAATGGTTAATTAAAGAAAGTACTCAGGGTTAACATGTAAACCAGTCCATCTGTCAGTCAGCCAGCAACAACGTGAGATCAGGCTCACTTATGAATCTGTCCAAGTTGCCATACCTCATTAGCACAACAAGATCAACACCAAATTCATAAAAATAGTTAATTCAATGGTGGTAATATATATATAAAAGAAAGGTTGCATATAAGG